TGTATATGCGTTTGTATGTATATTTCTATATTTTATTTTAACGGTACCTAATAAAGAAACCATAGTAAAACAACACCTGTTGAATGTACAGCAAAAAACTTGATGCATTATAGAATAAAGCTTAACTCAATATTTAATTTATTATGTAAAATAAATGACGTATTTTTCTTTGAAATTATTTAATTTTTGTCTTATCCAAATATCTATGTGTATGTATGCACCTAAAAATATAAAAATTGAGTTTAATAATAGTATAATCTTTTTTTTTACTACAGCTTTAACGGTATTTATTTGGGGAATCTAAAAAATGGCACAAACAGTTTTGAATAATAATTTTTTCCCTATTCCCTTCACTATTTCATATTTCGAAATTATTCTAATTTTGTAAACCTGTTGTCAAGAAGATTAGGATATTTTTTGTACTTGCCTGTTTTCTTTGATTCAGAGGTGGTTAACATTAGTCTAGGAATTTAAAAGATTGTTTTTATTCCCACGAATTTTCTATTTAAATTTTTAATAAAACGAAAATATGTATATGTTCAAAGCTTGAATTTTCCAACATTTACCTGTTATTTTCATTTCGTTAGCTGTAAGTTCAACTCGCAGGCATTAAATTATATAAAATGTACACAGATATAAATAATTTCAATAGAACTCAACTTTGAAATTGAAAATATGCTTATTAGCTTGCCTGTAACGAACATACTACCACTGTTAGTGTTAATGTAAAGTTGTTGAGTATTCGTTTTATTTTGGCATTTATTCATAATTTATTGTAGGCATCTATGTATTGTATAAGAGTGCAGTGTATTATATATTACAATACATGTGTTAACATAAATATATATGTAAGTATGTACGTTTAACTTGTTAATTATAGGTAGGTAGCAACACAGCAAAATGTGTAAAGCTTTTGGGAACAAAGACATTTCAATGCGCAGTTCATCATTGAGTACTACATATGTACATATGTATAATGGAAACTGAATCTATATGCACATATGTATAATTGTATTTATTGCAAGCTTAAAAATATATATTTGTGTTTTAACGATATACAATATTATTCATAAATATTATTTTAAAATACATACAAACATATCGAGTAAATGTGCAAAAGAAATGCAAAATTGAAAAATATATATAGTATATGGATTTTTCCAACTGACTACAATGTTGCTTGAATTTCACCTCTTTGTTAATTGATTTTGCTTAATTTTTCACATTTTTATAAATAAATACAATATTTCATTTTACTTTACGCAAGCATAATACATATACATAGTATTTATATGTCTAACTTATCACCAAATAATAAATTCATTTTTCAAATTTTTCACGCAATTCATTTAATAAATTCGTACAGAAGTTATATATGATACGCGTATAAAATCAATGCAAGCATAATTCTGGCTAAGTTAAAGTAGACGTTTAAAAAACAGCAGTATTTAGGTAATATATAGCGGTAAAGAATGCGAATCAAATATTATGTTCACCACTATCTAAAACTAAAAAATACATTTTTAAACCCTTTTTTGTTGCTTTTTCTTTTTTTTTATAGTTGAAACGGAATTGTTCTTTCTTCAAACAAATTTATATTAAAGTAATTTATTTTAGTATAGCGATATAAATTAAAAAACATTTCACATTTTTATTCAAATAAACCAGGTGAATAGCGGAAACGAGATTATACATACAAAATACATATGTATGTATGTGTGTAGATATATAATGTATATAAAAGCGCACTTAAATAATATTTATTTGTATATGTGAATGTATCATTTCATTAGTGTTCAATATACTCATTCATTATATGAATTTAATTTTTTGTTAATGTAATTTGCCACAATATTCAATATTGTTGCTTAAATTGTTTAATAATACTCTAAAAAATGGTACAGAAACGAGAAGTTTTCGAGTTTACGTGCTGATATTTGAAAACTAAAATATAAAAATTTTTTATTTTACTATTCATTTTCCACTTAATATAGTAATCAAATAATATAGTAATATAGTAATAAAAACTTGTGCTCACGGATGTATTAAAATATATATTTTCTTTGTTTTTAGATTTCCCTACACTGTGTTCACTTTGTATGCAGTTAAGAAAGGTGAGTGAATAAAAAGCAATAAAAAAATATTTAAAAAAATTTATGCAAATTTGGTAATTAGCTTAGGAATTATTAAGTGCAATTGCTCCAGCTGGCTAATTCGAATTATTATTTTATTTTACTTTACTCTTTAATATTTCGCATAGACCTTATATAAATTTTGAAGTTAAATTTCATCGAATTTTTTTTTTTCGAAAAACAAATATTTATCTTAATTTTTATGCATTAAAAAAAAACAATTTTTATGAATTTGTAAAATCAAAAATGCGCAAATTAAGAATTCAGATAATATTTATCGAATTTTCCTATATTAAACTAATAGGATTATAGCGACATCTGTTTTAAATATGTGTCAATATATATCAGTTGAAAAATTGTTAGTTATCAATTAAAATAATGAATATTAATAAATAATAATGAAATATACATTTCATTCATTTAAATACACTTTTAACAAAGCCGCCATATTCGACAGGCGCTCTTCGAATCAAACATAAATATTCCTTATGAAGCCTTTTAAAAATTTCAAATAATGGTTTAAAATATAATAACATGTCAAAATGCTGCAATAGAGGTAAATGAATTGTAATACATATTATGGTAATAATAATTAAAAATACGAAAGGATATTATGAAACATATTTATGAATAGGTAACTATGCATACAATTCGCTTCAACAAATTAAAACGATTGCTAGTATAACATATGTGGTTCTATATGTTTATGTATATATGTTGTGTATAACAGTTATGTATTTACATATACTTATTCTTTAAATTTTCATGAACTTCGTTCGAATATACATAAACCCTTCGTAGCAAAAACGCTTTGAAATATGCGCAATCGCTCAATATATAAATTTAATATATAGTTAATAACAGTATTATAGTTTTTCTCTCTCATTAAGGACATTCACAACATGTAAAAGTAAACACGTTTTTCAAAGTAAATAATACAAATTCGAAAAAATATATTCGACGAATAAAATATACCTTTTATAACGGTTGATAACAGTTTATATGTTGCATGTGACGTTATATTCGAAACTCATATACGAGTTATTATTATATGACATTCAATACTAACTTTATTTACAAACGAATATAAAACGATAATGTGTGAATGCCCTCATTACATTTCATTTCCGCATTTTTGCCTACATATCATTAGAAAACGTTATAAATATTACTTTTCACATCCATTATCTTTCAGCAATTCACATTTGCTTGCGATTCTCGCCATATATGTATCTCTACACTTAATTCTACATAGGCATATGTAGGAATATGCACCTAGATATTTAGGTATACTATAAACATTCACTATTAATTGACTTCATTATTATTTACTCCTTGGAATTTTTCAATACTTTATGTAGTACTTGTTTGAATTCGCGTTTCAACGTTCGTTTCGTTTCGGCAATTCGCTTCTAGGAGAATAGATTATTGCGTCGCTTCAACGAACCGAATTTCTTTTCGGCTTCCAGCAACATTTTCTCATTTCGCACCACCTCGAACGGTATGGTTTTGGAGAGTCGATCGATCTCTTGATCGGATGGGAAATCTTCGAAACTCATATTGCTAAAACCAGTTTTCGCTGAATTTTGTATAGTATTCGATTGGAAGCCACTCGTCATTGCCGTATTGGCTGAGGCACTTGTGCCTTTGGCGTTGCTGCCAACACCAGCACTTGTTGTCGATTTGGAATGTTTTGTTGAACTGTTGCTTGAGATGTTTGTTGTTGAGCGATTTTTATATTTGCCTTCATTGATATCGTCATCATCATCATCGTCATCGTCTTGCGATTGACTCTGTAAACGTTGATGTTTCTGTTTGCTGCTTGAGGTGAGTGATGAGGTTGAGCCGAGTACGCTTGCGGCGACGACTTTTTTGTATGTGTGTCCCTTGACTTTTTGTGTGATTTTAGCCGGCAACGTTCTCACACCCAAATGGGACTTTTCCTTTTTCGGTTTTGTTATGGTGAGGGGGGCGCTGTTGAGGATCGACGTCGTCGCAGCTGACGTGCATGCTGTTGTTGCTGGCGTGACTGCATCCATGTCGGCAGCATGCGATCCATGCGGAACCACTGGCTCCGCCTCATCGTCTGTAGCAAAGTCCGAACAACGATCTTGAGAGATTTGTACAAAACCATTATCGGCAATTGGGAACAATGACTGATGATCGGACATTTTCAAATGCGTAATCATGCTGGACGAACCACCGATGGAAATATTACTAGGCGTTTGCGCTGTTTTACTGGCAGTTGTGGTGGTGGAGGAAACGGAATGGGACATACTGCTTGGAATATTGAGTACGATGCCACCGTGTGTGCTGGTAGCATGAGTGTTCGCTTTGAGTGTTGGCTTGTGCATGGCGGCGGCAGCGGTATTGGGTGCGGGTACATTGATGGCGGCAACATTGGGCGGAGGAATACTGATATTAACATGCTTGGCGGTGGTAATAGTGTTTGCACTCGACGCTACAGTTGCAGGCAATTTTATATAGGCGCTAGTAGTGCCACCACTTGTTGCCACACTCAATGGAGGCGCTGTTGTGGACGCATTTAATTGAATTGAATTGATATTGTTCCGGTATTGTAGTGAGGAGTTCGCCAATGGTTCGGGTGTTTTGTTGATAATTATTGAATGGTTAATTGTAACGAGTTGTGGCGCAGGACCACTGGGCTGTGGAACTGTTGGTGCGCCAAAGGGCGTCGGTATAGTTGTCAAACCGGAATGTTGGTTTTGTGTTTGAGTCAGAGGATTGGGTGCCGTTGCTTGGACTTGTTTTATTTGCACAATATTATTGTTATTCTTATTTCTTGTAATGCTGTCATTGATACCTTCTATGGGGTTCACAATTATAGATTTACGAATTACCTGCGGAAATGGTTCGGAGCCAAAGAGATCTTGTTCGGGTGCATAAACTTCGTTAGCTGGTAGTTTTGGCTCGATAATCGGTCGTTCCGTCGCTGGAAAATCGGGTACAAAATTTGTTGTCGCTATTGGTTTTACAGTAGTAGGTTCTTTGGGCACATCGACCGCGTTCGATATAACGGTGACAGTGCCAAAATTGGACGAGCTTTGTATGTGAGACTTGGGTATTACTGTATTCGGATTGATTTTCGGTTCGGCAAATGGATTGAAAAATGGTTCATTAAATTCGTCCAACTGCGGTGAGGGACCCGAAGGAAAATTAGCAAAGTTATCCACTGAGTTGGTGCGTTTATCGACACTTTTTACTGGTGTCGATGTCCAAATTTCCACGGAATGAGATTGCACCGGCGGATTTCGCGCCGGAACTTTGGGCAGCGAACGTTGACTTTTGGAAGTACGTCTTTTCAAAGGTAAACCCACGGGCATCTTAAACGGCGCCATCGCAAACACATCCAACTCCTCCGGTTGGTTATTGGTGTTTGAGACTAAATTCGGTAACGGCGCATTTTCAGGCGATTCTTCTGTCTCATTGCTACTCTTACCTTTCGAATCGGAATCACCAGAACCGTAATCTAATTCATCGTCGAGCAATAATGGTTTATCGCCGAATTTATTTAGAAAATCATTAGATGTCGGACTCAACTCACTTTCATCATCGCGCGCTGTAATGCCACTCGCTTCAGCAGCGGCTGCCACAGCGGCCGCAGTGCGATCCTTCTTACGCATACGCACCTTAACCAACACACGACTAACATCATCTTCGTGCGTAGTGACACTTTCACATTCCGCATGGTAAGCCGATGAACTACACGTCTTTACACTTTCACTTATGCCGTCTATATCCATAACGGGGCGTCGTAATTTTGTATTGCGTGTTTGCACATCGTTCTCGTCGAAAAAGTCATCATCTTCGGCACGCAAATCACTTGCAGAACCAATCGAATCTTCGCTATCTGACTTATCACCCGAAGCAGCTGCTGCAGCGGCCGCAATTGCAGCCGCTTGCTGTTGCTGTTGTTCATGTTGCTCTAAGGCGGCGTTAACTTGTTGAGCCGCCTGCTGGGCGGCCGTTGTCGGTTTCTTAGTGGAATGACGTAACTTCTTAACTATAGGCACTTTTAACTGTGTCTTATCGACTTTGTGATAAGCAGCTTGCTGTATCTTATGTATAGTATCTGGTATGTTGTTGGTGACAATTTGCTTGAAAATCGCTTTTGTGCTGCTGGGTCCAATCGTATTGCCGTAGTCTTCTTGAAAATACTCCGAATCGGAATCATCCGAAGTGGGATTATCATTACTACGCAATTTCTCATATTTATTACGATCCTCTAATGGAAGTTTGACAAAATTACCACTCGGCAATGCTACACCGGCCAAGGTGGCCACAGAATCGCCATCACCAATACCCCCAATACAATGTAGTGCATTGCTTAAAACACCATCAGCGCCACCTTCCGAATCAGTTTTGAGATTATTTATCAAAGAAGTTTTCTCTTCACTCGACACTTCGAGCGTGGGTGATAGCAGCCATTTGGACGAAGCGGTCGATGAGGTAGTGCCACAGGCCGCCGTTATATTTCCGCTCGCACCGCCACTAGACGAAGCCATGGATGCCGAAGGACCACCGGTGACGATAAATTTAGCTGAAAATGAGATTAAGTTCTTTTATGCAATATAACAAATGAACTATGTACAGTTAGCTTAGTAGTGCGTATGTAAGTACGTTTTGCATACTCTAAATACTATTTTCATGGTGGCTACAATATATATTTTTTGTATTGTTTATCTTATTGTAATTGTAAGCGACAATTGCTTTTGTTAAAACAACCTATATTTATATTTGACATGCCTTCGAGTTACATTTTGGAAGTGTGCTTTCTGAGATCTCTTTTCACTGCAGAAAATTTACGGTTATTGGTGAAAATACCATTTCATATTGTTATTTTTTGAGTGCAATGCTCAAACATATTTTGAAACTAAATTTTGCAAACCAACACAAAATCAATATACAGTACTATTTTCTAAAGGCTATTATCTACATATGTAAGTGTAGGTGTGTACTGCTGGACAATAAACTCTTAAAGTTATATTAGTTATATGTATTACTATTATAAGTTTGGTTAGTTACTGATGAATAGACTAAAACTATTTGCATATGACGACTTTCGAATACTAACTCCTATTTTATAATGACTAGTACAGTTTTATTAAACATACTATACGGCTGAAAACAAAGTGTCTAGTAAAATCGTAAATCGAGGGTAAACATAATTTCTTGTCAACTCTGTTTAATATTCCGCTTCACTAACAACTGTATTATGTAAGACAACTGGTAAATAATTGTCAATCTAATGCCTTGGCTACTATATAAGCCTTTTGTTAGCGTATAGCCATTGATATCAGTATACTTGAAAAAGTAAACAAGATCCACGATTTTACATTTTCGGTAATTCGGCTACTTTACTCGCGCTAGCATCCATACATAATAGAGGTGTACGACTCCGGCATAAGACAAAACCGTGGGGAACAAATGTTTTTCAAAGTTAGAACATCTTTCTCAATTAAAGAAGTTTCCATACAACAATTGATTTTGATCGTTTAGCTTGTGTTAAAGTGGTCCGATATCGCCGGTTCCGACAGATGAGCTTCTTAGAGGGAGAAAAACACAGGTGTAAAATTTCAGATTGTTATTATGTTGTTAGATATAGACAAAGGGACAGTCGGACATGGCTAAGTCAACTCAACTCGTCACGCTGATCATTTATATATGTATGTGTTTTACAAGGTCCGACTTTTTTCTGGATGTTACGAACTTCATGGCAAACTTAATACACCATGTAAAAGTGTTTTTTTTTATTAAACAAAGTGTTTACAGTGTAAATTACGATGACGCCAAGATACTTTTTACAGTGTTAACTAGGCAGCTTTATCCGTCGAAAAGGGTTATCTATCTTTGCACTTAATTTAAATTAACTTAATATTAAAATATATTTTATATACAAAATGTATGTACATAGATGCGACACCAAATTAAGGAGTTTTAATTTTTACAAAATATTTGTATAAATTTGTACAATATCCAGTAATATTTTTAGTAAAATTTCGCCCAGTTTATGTACATATGTATGTGAGTATGTATATTTTAAGAATTCCGATTATTTAATTCGCATATGTATGTGTGCATAATGTGTGTATTAAGCAAGTTTGTGTATAAATGTGTCTTAATTATCTTGAATTTTTGTCAAATAATTTTTTTATGTATTTAAGGGAAGCTGTTATTACTCTAGGAAGGGGACTATAATTGTTACATGTAAATATTTTGCTGATATAACTATGGTTATAAAGAAAATTTAGTTCAAATTGATACGTTATTGAAAATTATAATACTTAAAACCATACAAAACCCGAAATTTTGTACAATGATATAAAAATAGTATTATTAACTTCGTTTCGAAAAATTATCTAAGCGTCATATATACAAAATGTAATAAAATATGTATGAAAGTAACGCACATTTAATAGTTTGTATGCCCCTTTTGCATAGCTCAACTCCCATTTTGCATATAGCGTTGCAAATAATAAACAAATAAAGTAGTTAATTACAAAAAAGTACATAAATTAGTGAAAATCGTAATATATGAATATGATGTTTATAAATTTAGTGATTTATGTATTTCTAAATGTAAAATTCTAGCCGCATTTGGTAATAAGTGAGAACGACACCCAGTTGCATTGTTTTGTTGTTATTGATTTTAAAAGTGAATAATTTATATAGCTTTTTCGGTCATTGAATAGGTTTATATATTTTTTCATAGTATCATATAATCATAATTCATATAATATTTATATATAGTTTATATTTATATGTATATATATATTTTTTTTTATTCATAAAATTATTTATGCATAATTACATTGATTTAATGCCTTTACTGACTAAAAATTTGTATCTATTGTATTGCAAATGAGCATAGGATGCGCTTTGTTAGCCTAGCTGAGGAGTTTCGGTACACTTTTCTTCATTCTGTTTTAGCGCTGACTAAAAACTACACTTGTTGCTGCTGGCTGCTTTATGATTTTACGAAAGTACAGCGGTTGGAAAGTGCTCACACTTGGCTACAATGCTACACCATCTCACTTTTAAATGACATTTCTGAAATAACTTTATTATTTATAGTTTTAAATTAGTTTGGATTTATTTCCTATTAATTTTCATACAGTTCTTTACCGGTGAATCACATTCTTTGCTAGTTTCTCTGTACATTTACTTATGTATATCGGTTTACTTCTTAATACTCTCTTCTTTAAGCTCTCGTTTTTCTTATTATTAATATCTTTTAAATATATATATATTTGTTTTTGCTGCGACAACAATTAGTTTATATATATATATATATATTGTTTTATATATGTATATGTATATAATTTTAGTTTATGAAAATAGTCATACACATTGCATTTGGTGAGTTTAGCTTTCGTTTACATTTTTAAGGTACAGTTTTCTATATACTTTCATAATACAATTCATTTCATTAATCGGAAAATTTTATGTTGCTTTCTTATAAGCCATTTTTTTATTTTAACAAATTGTGTGTAATGAAAGGAACACTGTTCACAATTGGTCGGATGATTTGAGTATGTGTGTGTTTAAAGAGAACAACAGTAAATTCTTTATAATCGGATAATGGGACATTTCGTAAGATTTTAAAGGGGAAATTTCGTTTGAGCAAGAATATTCAAATAAATAAGTTAAAGCTATATATCAATTGAAGTGCAGCTTATAAAAAGGATCTTATAAAACTTGCACTGCAATATAGCAGAAAATGCGGGTGTACTTAAGGAAAGTATTATTTCGGCTTGGTAAAGCTAGAGGAGGTTTACTATCTATATGTCTTTCTAAAAAATATCTAAACGATTTATTACTGACATGATATGAACCAATCTGTCTTCCACTTTTAAGTTTTATCTTTCAAAAAAATATTTGAAGTTATATCTACACTAAATTTCTGATTAATATATTTTTTGAATACAGATATAACACAGACTAACTACGCTTTCAGGAGAGCTTAAGCAATTAGTTTTAACTTGCAATTCGCTATTTAATTGATGGAAGCTTGGAAGCAATTAACATCCATTAAAGTTTTAAAATTCATACAAAGCGTGATACTTTTGAGCGATTTCAATTAAGAATATTTTTACACTTGTAAATATTTTAGTAAGCATATAAAAAAAATTCCGGTATACAAGTTCATGTATTTACTGCAGTTTGCTCAAGTAGAAGAGAAATTATAAATGAGCTTTAATTGTTAAATAGTAAAATTATAATCAACTCGGCTGCATAAATAATACAGGTTATGTTTAAGATTTAGTTTTACTTTGAATATTTCCTCCACGAAATTTTAGGTTAGAAATTGAATCTCCCAGATTTGTAAACATATTCTTATTTAAATTGGCTCGCCAGCAAATTTATTAAGTTTTGCTTGCTTCTTAAGTTATATAACATATATTAGAGTAAGCATTTTGAAGTTTCCACTACTAAATAACTGACCTTTTTTTTATAAAAATATACCTAGAAATGAAACCACGCATAATACATAATTACAAATGACGGATGTATCTAAATATTCTAATAAGATATGCGCATATGATGATATGATATGTAAATTATATGCTTATATGTCTACTTAAATATACATATGTACTATGTAATGCGTTCATTATATAATAATATTATTATTATTTTCAATATTTATTGTAATTATTATTGAATTAGTCACAAATTTGAAAGGAAGAGAGCATAAGATACATACGTTCGCATAGTTTCAAACCATAACCCAGTTAATCAAATATATATAGTCGGATACAATATAGTATACATTAATTTAGACTAAAAACCAACACCAAATATTGCATTTTATTAAAATATATACATATTTTATTAGTTCACAAATTCAAATTGCACATTTTTGATAAACTGGAGGACAATCTTAAAATAGTGCCACCTCTACCTTGTCCATATATAACAAATGTAAAAGCTGAAAGCTGATCTTGTCAACGATTCATTAAATTAATTAAATTTACATTTATCTAAATTTAAGTTTTTCCAAAATATTAGTGCTAATTTAAATACGAATTTTTTACAATTGAAGTACAGAAATCTTGATGTTAGCTTTGTGTAAATACATTTATGTATGTATAACAAATGTATATTGCAAAATTGAATAGAAATGTTAATTATCAAGCACGAATAATATGCACGAACTACTAGCTACCGTTTATTTATACTCATTGATAAAATCATCAAACAACGCGATTTCGCTTTAAGAAACGTTACATTAAATATTAATTATATAATTTATTTAGAATTGACTCATACAACATTAAGAAACTCAAGTGCACGCGTAGTGCTCGAATTGAGCCTGATTATTGTTTTGATTGCTGTCATTTTCCTTTAAGTCATTAATTTGTGAAGTTTTTTTTTTGTCTATACTTGTAGTTTCAATGGTTTGAGCAGAGAGGAATTTCGCACTGTGTGCCAAATATATTGCAATGAGCCGTTAGTAGCTTTTAGCTTAATTAGTCAATTTCATTTCGCTCTACGATTTTTGTAATTTTTTTGTTTTGATACATGCGGGGACTAGAAATATTACGCCGCGGCCAAATCTTTATTTTTTTGTTATTTGTGTTATTTTTTTACTTTTCTTCTGCAGGAATTACTAGCATTGATAAGTGGAGTGGTACTTTAGTAAGTAATAATGGTAGTAATGGTGGTAGAAGTATATAAGCTAAATTGTTATTTATCAATTACTCATACTTATTGGCATAGGCATAGGCTTAGTATGTGCGAACATACATACTAAAACAGCAGTTGCTATGTATGTAGTAGAACAAGTAATGCAAACAAAAATTTCATGCTTTACCTCCAGTTTTACGCAGCGTTGTTGCTTTCTCGCGCAATCCGGCCGGCAAGCTGAATGGCGCCGAGCCGAATGGATCCTCGGGTATGTGTGCCACGGCGGCATTGACACTACCGCTGCCACCACCTGTAACCGAGCCGCCGCCGCCGGCAACTGTTGGGCCAAACGGCGTGACCGTGACCGGAAGTTGTGTTTGTGGTTGTTGTTGTTGTTGCGACGTTGTTTGCGTCTGCGTTGCAGGCATACTTGTCGCATAACCTTCAGTAGGCGTTAGAGTTGAAGTAGTCGATGCAGACTTAGCTGTGATACCTTTATGAATATGATAAGTAACATTTTTATTTAGTTTAAATAAATATTTTTAGTAATTAATAGCGTGTTAGACTTACTTCCTTGACTGCCACGCTGGCGTATCTTATCAAATTCTGCTTCGAATATATGATCTTCAGTCATTTGTCCGAATGGTTGCTCTTCAAATGGATTCCAAGCCTCGATACGTTTACCTAATGAACTGCCGCTGGCATGATTCGCAGCCGCGGCATCGACGTTTGTGTGTGCCAAACTATTATTAGTCTCTATGTTGCTACGCAGCACTTGAGCGCTTGTTAATTCGGCATTCGATATTGACGCCGACATGACGGCGGCGCCTTGGCCTTGCATATGCAGCGTTTGTGCTGGTGGTAGAAAGAGTCCTGGATTCGACCCACCATAATTCGTGCCAGAATTGGCCATTGCATTGACCAGCATGCTGTCGTCGCCACCGCCGCCACTGGCATCGTTCGCGTGTGACGCACGACTCTTGACCGAATGATCATAGGGCGCCAGGAATTGAGAAGTCTCGTTGGCGAAAGTTCTAAGAGTTGTGATGTATATCCGAGAAATGGGTGCGAACGTTTTGTAGGGGTGAAGTGGGAGCACAGCAATAGATGAAGAATGATGTGTATGGAAATAAGAAAAATTTAATGATGTTAAAATTGGATCAGAAACAGGGATGTGTGGAGAGTGGAGTGAAAGAAAAAGAGTGCGCATAACTCATGGCTTAAGTGCATTCAACGATTTCATTATTTTATGCAATTATTGGTTTTTAAGGACATAAATATGTGTTTGATCTTGAAAACTATTGTATATTAGACGTTTACTCTTAAGGTCAAGTTGTCTTCTTTGCTATAATTTGCTTCAGTCCTACTTGCTTTACACATATGTATGTATATTGATTGATTTTGAGTAATAAGTAGATAAGAAAAATATTGAATTTTTGTCTAAATTTGGAGAGCTAATTTTAGGACTAGCATTATTATTAATATCAATTTAAAAAGTGATTTTCGTTGTATTCGAAACAAAAACGTTTTATATTTATTTATATTGAATTGGCTGCCGAGTTAAAGTGCTTTCTATTTAATAATAAAAACAAAAAATAAATGAGTAACAATTTATTGTGACTCCTCAAAGCGCACAGACAGTTTAGAATTTCAATGACTATTCACTCAAATGTTCTTTTTCATCTAAAATGGCTGACCTTAATTAGTCCATACAGTCGAAATGAAAAAAAAAAAATTTAAAAAAATATACAATTAACACGGAAAGTCAGTGGTATACATATATAGGTATGCACATACATTGGCAAGACATGTATGCAATTGCAAAAAACAAAACGAGAAAGAGCAGAAGAAAAGAAAACGTACAGAAGAAACACACACAAATCGATACAAGCATAGAAACATTCAATCAAATATAAGAGCACGAAAAAATCTTACTTATTAAAGGCAGACGTATCGCTAACATTGCGTCGATGTCCGGAGGTGCCACTGCTACCAGAGCTTGGGCCCACGCCTGACACAGTCAGCATACTACTCTTTGTTGGTGTGCTGCCGACAGTTGTATGATGTGCTGACAGAGAGCTTACAGCTATATTATCCAAACCGTCGCCCAGCCCACCCACGCCCAGACCCACACCAACACCCAGACCACTGCTGCATGCGACTGTGTCTACAGTTGTATTTTTCATTGCTACCGGTGCATTCTCACTAAACGGATCTGGATATACAGATGATTCAAAGAGGCTATTCAGCACTTCAGGCGGCGGCTGTTGTTGCTGTTGTGCTGCAATTGCTGCCGTGTTGGTGATACCGGTTTGATTGACAGTTTGTTGTGTTAGTTGTGGTGGTGGTGGTGGTGCAACTGTGGGAGTTGCGGCAACTACAATACTAGAGGCTTGTGGTGTTGTTGCCGGCATAACCACTGTGGCTACAGACACGGTTGCTGTTGCTGCCTGTTGTTGTATTGGTTGTGGTGGTACGACTGGTGGTGCCAATTGTGGAAAATTCGCTTGAAATTGTTCAACTATCGGTTGTTGTTGTGGCTGTGGCGATGTTATATTATTGCGTGGTGATGGACTTGGCGGCAAGCCAAGACCCAGTGGATTTGCACCATGTACAGAAGTGGAGCCTTTCGGGCGTTGACGAGGCGCTACACTCGTACCGGACTCGACGATCGGCACACTTTGAGGCTTAGGTGTTTTTGATGCGGCAGCAGCAGATAAGCGTTTCGCTTCGGACTCAAATGGAGGGATGACAAGTTGTTCGAAATTTGGTGATGGAGATTTCTGTAGTTCAAGAAAATGTAAATGTTCAGATGATGATAGTAAAACTTATAAATTTCAAATTTTAATTTTTTATTTATGGTTATAGGATTTGCAAAAAAATCTCAGTAAAAATAAATAACAGCTTTTTAAAATAAAATAACAAGGACAATCGTTATTTGCCATTGCACCAAAGTTCTAATACCCTTCACAAATAGAAAAGTATTAATACAAGAAATTGATTTTGAACCATCAGTAGGCATGAGAGCTACTGGAATGGAATGTTATTGGTTCAATCTGAACAATTTGTTCGGAGATTGCAATATTTTTTTTGTGTTGAGGAATTAATTTATTAAATTGTTGAAACTATCCCAAGAATCCCAAGTTTCATGTGCTGAGAAAACTTACGTGCAAATTTTGTACTGGATTCTCTTTGCCAGCCAATCGGAACACCACTTCGCACACTTGCCAAATATTCGGCCGCTTATCCATATCGGGTTCGAGCATGTATTTAATCAATTGATGCATGCCTTTTGAGTATTTGGAATTGTCTGGTATGGAGAACTGACCATTCTGTATTGCCAACGTACTTTCGCCGAAGGGCAAATTGAAAAAGCACAATTTGTATAGCATGCAACCGAGTGCCCAAATATCCGCTTTAGTTGTAATACTTTTACCAGAATAGAGATCGATCATTTCGGGTGCACGATACGATAATGTTGTATACTTTTGAATTTCCTCTTCAACCAAAGTGACACCATGTTGTTGCGGATTCAAAACTTTCCCTGTGGCTGAGCCAAAATCGCAGAGTACAAAATTACCAGCATCATTCTGCAGTATATTCTCAACTTTCAAATCCCTATGGATAATTGGGGTTTGACAATAGTGCAAGCGTGACACTGCCTCTGAAATATCACAGAATATGGTGAGAACTTCCTGTTCGTTAAAGCCAACCTGCAATCTGTAATGTATTTAAACGTAAATAATCATAATTATACCAGTATATATGTATATATGTTTATGTATAAAGCATATAGTGTGTGAGAGTGTGTTGTGCTCGCATGCAATCACTTATTTGATTAATTATGAATTAATTGTGTAGCGCTCACCTTGCATTCATCATGGCCAGCATGTGCTGCTTGCAGTAGGGCATGAGCAACAGTACTTCACATACACCGTTACCGGTGTGCGTAATGCTCGAGTCTACGTAGCCTATAATATTCTTATGGCCGCTTAGATTACTCTGGAAAAGGCAGAAATACACACAAAATATTGTATAATGAGGTTTAACTGAAGAGCGATTCTCATACTCATAACGTGTTTTATTCTCATAATTTAATATTTACTTAGTTATAAGTTATAATGAGTGAATATAAAATATTTAATAATTTAAGCGACACGAAAGCGTGGAATGTTAGCCGTGATAATGGCCTGCGCACCACAGAGCTAACCTCCAAATTTTGTGCGCTTAGCGTGAGTGTAACGGTGTACTTACAGCGATCTGAATCTCCCTCTTGGCCACGTTCAAGTCGTGCTCGTTATTCACATACATACGCTTCAGCGCATATTTTGTATTGCCTGTGTTCGCTTTAGCGAGGAAGACCATGGCAAAACCACCTGCAAGGAAGCCAAATCATGGTTTATTAAAAATATTCTGCTAAAATATATACATATTTATAGAAAGATACACACGAATTAATGCATGTGTAAAAAAACGAAAATGTCTGTAGTGTTTCGTGATAAAGCAACACTTCCAATTTATTTGCGCTTCCAGACTCATTTCAGGAAATTCTTTTTCTGCTTTGCAAAGTGATTAATAATCTACAGGCTAGACAAAGCTTATTAAATGCATTATTCTCTATATTAAGTAGAAAGGAAAAATGTAATTAATTCTAGTTTTGCCATCTTACGATTAGAGGCATAATATATACGGTATTTACATGATTAATATTTGGCTTTGTTGGTTCGTAGTTTAACGTAGGCTTATTTCATATATTTTTAATACATAGTGGTCTGAAATTTTATACGAGAACCACATTTTCTTCGGCTAGTATGTATTGTAACGAAATTTTCCAGACCGAATTACTATAGCATTAATTCGGTCTGGAAAATTTCTCCAAATTTTCGTTGCCCTTGACAATAATCCATTCTTAATTTCTAGCCGATATCTTGATAAAAACGAAAAGAGACGGGTGCAAACTTTCAGATCGATATCTCAAAAACTGAGGGACTAGTTCGCATACATATTGGTAAACGACGGGCCAGACGAACATGGCTAATCGAATAAGCTCGTCACGCTGATATATTTTAGATACATTCTGATGGGTCGCAGACGTTTTATAACATTGTAACTTTTTATTATGATTACCGATAATGATTACAGTCATTTGTGGCAAATATGCCACATTTCCAAAGATACGTTGGAAGAACATATCAGCCGAATGCATTTTTTTTTTGTTGGGAATAGTTTCTCTAAATGGTTACCACCTTGTTAATGGCCTCTTGCGTTGAGTTCACTTTTTAAACACCCTTTTCAATAAACCAAAGTTTTCAACTGCAAATCAAAATACCTTGAATAATGAAAGGAAAGTTTTGTGTGTTCGATAAAAATAACGTTTTACAAATATTCTACAAATATTTTCTGAATGTTGTAGTCAGAGTGTATTAGTAGTGTCAGCCTCGAAATTCAAAGCAGAATCACTCTTGCCAACAGGACTGGGTAGGCATTGAGAAGTAAGGTCCTCTCTCGACGAACAAAACCCTAACGCTATAAGTCACTCATTATTCCCGTCCTGTTATAAGGTGCAAAGACATGGTCGATGACAACATCTGATGAGTCGGTGTTACGAGTTTTCGAGAGATAGGTTCTGCGAAAGATTTATGGTCTTTTGCGCATTGTCAACTGCGAATATCGTACGTACGAGATATACCACGACATTGACATAGTTAAGCGAATTAAGAGACAGCGGCTGCGCTGGCTAGGTCATGTCGTACGTATGGAAGAAAATACTCCAGCTCTGAAAGTATTCAGCGCAATACCCACCGGAGGAAGACCTCCACCCGTTGGAATGCCCAGGTTGAGAAGGATCTAGATTCACTTGAAATTTCCAATTGGCGCCACGTTGCGAAAAAAGAAACGACTGGCGCGCTGTTGTTAATTCGGCTATAATCGCATAAGCGGTGTCTACGTCAGTAAAGAAGAAAAAAAGTAGTACTCAAATGCGATAACAATTCGGACCACACAACTATTGTGTTCAAATGGGTGATTTACTAGCCATTTCGGATTTTCGAAACAATTTTATCATAATTATATTTTCTCATATTAAATTTCAGGCATGCCTTTCAAAATATAAGATATAAGGACGGTATAAACTACCTTAAACTCAGCCAATCAAATTCAACATTAAACGGTAAAAAAGTCTTTGTCTGAAAATCCGAATTCTGCATTCTTTTGAACACCACTCCCAGCTTAAAGTACTTGATTGCTTTTGTTATCCTCCTACCATTCTATTGGTTTATGTATAACCCACTTACACTTATACTACTGTACAAACGCCACCGTTATGATATTAAGGGCGTAGAAACTGTGAGGCTGAACGTACAACTCTCGGACTTAAAATACAAGCGCATTCCAACACTCATTTCATCTGCATACGCATAAGTAATGCAATTAAATTGCAATTCAATTAAAAAATGTACTGTTAGCCAATGTTGTGGCACGTAACATTCATATGTATATATGACTAAGTATGGTACCACTTGGCCACATTGAACCAAACGAACTAATGACAAAGTCTTACTCATTCCATACTCTGCACTGAAACAAAATTATATGAAGACACTCGTCTTTATAAATGTACTTTGGTACATATGTATTCCTAATAATATATGTATGCATCATATTCAAGTACAGATGTAAATATGTATCACTATATGTACCTTGGTGCCATAAAGTTACTATTTACACGGCAAAGTATTTACGTTTTTGTGTCAAAAGCGAAGTAATCGATATTTGTAGCATGCTACAGCCGGCAAATAATTCCTACACACACAAACCCAAAAGCACTTCGTGAATGGGAGCATTTGGAATTCTTGGGTAGGAGAGAATTTATAGATTTAAAGAAGAGGAAAAATGCTTTTGAGAATCCAAATAGATGCACTGAGGAAGGAATTTGAGTATGGGGAAACCAATTTGGCGTATTGAAGTATTAAGGAAAAAAATTTTAAGCGAAGAAGGGCAGGTGTATTAAGAAAGTAAGACATGTGTATGAATTTCATTAAGAATTTTTTTAAAATAGAACAGAATAAATTCTGCTAAAATGTATGGTTCTATGTAAACTACATATCAACACATACATTGTGGCAAAAAATTGTAAATAAAACGCAAAATATTTAATCATTCGTCAATATTTATTTTGTCACCTTCAAAAATATTCCTCTCCAGATAATACACTTATGCCAAAGATTTTTCCAGTTCTCGAGACACTTTTCATAAGCACTTTTTAGGATGGCCTTTAGCCCCTTTACAGAATTTTGAATGTCATAGTCAACAAACCCATGTCTTAACAGTTTTAATGCTTTCCATGAATGTGGGGATCGCACGATAAAATATGTCCAAAGAGACCTGTTTATGGTACTCTTTTTGAAAAAAAAAAATCATTTTATCGGGACAAGTCGAGCGAGAACGCGTTTTATTCCCCAAAATATCCACCAAAATCATTCGAACGGACTCGTGAGAGATGTCTCTTACTTTATCTAACACTTGAATAACGATTTTCAAGCACCATATAGTAGCGATTTTTACCAATTTTAAACAACGAGTTTTCATTGGTCCCTGTCTGTTTCAGGGAACACGCCATGAGTTCATTGAAGCCATAAAAATTATTCACTGAAGGTATTAAGACCATCCTAGCCGAGGTTTATAACAGGTGTATGAAAAATTGGATTGGGCATTGGCATGCTTTTATTGGTTTAAAAGGAGCTTATTTTGAAGGGGATAATAAAGACTTGTATTAAAGTATGTGAGGATACAATTATTTATTATAGGTCTGGGTCACATTTTATCAAATGCATTACACTGTTGTATCTCGTTAATAAAAAATAAAATTATATATAAGTGGTCTATCAACAGGAACGACGTGCAGTTAAAATGAAAGAATGCTCTCAAATTTGCTCAAAATGCATGTAATTTTATGATTTAACTCCATGATTTGAACAAAATATCGGCCAAAAGGCCACCAGACACCACCGTTAGCATATCTCCACCCGTTTACGATGGTTTTCGATGGGGTGCCGCATTTCGGCTGGATTATCGGCTATAGTGCGCTGAATATTGCCTTCAAGCTTCTCGTGCCTTTCCGGTTGATGGGCGTAAAGTATTGATGTAATTTTTTGGTGATGCAAATGCGTTTGATAAACCACACGAGTTTTTGACTCATAACGATAATTTTGTTTGTTGACGAACCCCAGCCAGAAATGGGGATCAGCTGAGAACATGTTTTTTCGATGAATTTCTTTTAACGTTGTTTTCGCGCGAGCTGTCACAATCATGTCATGCCTATTGTTAGACGCTGTATATTTAGTTTAGTTGAGTCTGTCTCTAAAAACACGATATATATACCTTGTTTAATTCTAATTAAATATTAATACATTCCGTTTTATAATTTCATTGAAAAATACAAATGTATGTACATACATATGTATGTACGCCGATTTTAATTCATTCATTCGATTTAAAAATAAAAATAATACAATATCTATTTTTAGAAAATATTTTTGACATCTCCAAAAAAGCGAGCTAAAAAATTTGTATGGATTAAAGAAAATAATATTTTTTTGATACATTTCAATTCTATCATTCAATATAGTTTCCTTCTAATGCGATAAACTGTATATCTGGATATGATATAGCATATGTTACTATCTATGCCTCAACTTCTCTTCATTGTAGCTAAATTTCCGTTTGCTGAGCTTTCTCTTATGATCTGAGATCAGGAAAAGGATTATGGGGCTAGATCCACGAAGAATTTCCTTCCCTCAAATCACAATTTATACTTTCCAATTGCAATAACGCTATATGTGTATATTTTTTTTCACTTTTCAAGATCAAATCCATTTTCGTTTTCGTACATTTTTATTCCATAATCTATCGCGTTCCCGGTTCCTTGATAGGAATGATTGAGTTTCTTGGAGAACAGGAGTATAGAGAGACACTGATTGAATGATGGATATCATAATATTAGGATATGACTGATAACTAATCGGCATTTTAATCTCTGCAAATTGTTTATGAATCAAAACATCAATGTAAACATTACAAAGGAGAGAGAGAAAGAGAAAAAGAAAGACTAGCTTGCAACATTTCAGTGAGAAATAAGAACTCTATCGAATGAATGCAATGCTATTGATTTGTATTATATATTTCCCAGGTGTGGCGCGTCATTAGCATTTTTAGCGATAGACACCCTAGCGATGCTCACAAACAAATAAAAATTGCGCGAAATGTAAACCAGCTCTGTTGGAATATGAATATGAAAAACGACAGTAATGAATGAGATTGGTGAAGCTATTAGGAGACAAGGGAGAGAATAAAAACTATGCGACGAAATTTGCTTATCAAAAGTTTTTGTTTTGTACTCATCGGTTTTTCGACACCTAATGTGCATTGCGGGGGGATGCGGTTTTTACAACAACAAAAAATAAAAAATACCTAGCAATTTGCCACAGAATACCGCAAAAACCACAACAAAAAGTGAATACACAACAAACAAGTGTTCACCAGTGGGTATAAGGGGGTCGCAGCAGCTGATGATAAAGTTGATATGCAAAGTAGCAACTGCGCCAGCAACAACAAGCACAAATGATAAGTAACAACAGCGTAGTAAACACAAAAGCGCCAAATACGAATTGTATCACTTGCTTTGGTGACTTGCTAACTGGTGAGTGCATGTTTGTATGTAAGTATATGGCATGCACGTGTATATATTTTTAATACATTTTAAGTATTCAAAGGGGAGATTTCAGATTTTATATCTGTATACATATATAAAAATATCAAAATATGAGTTTGTATATATGTATGTAGTTGCATTTCTCCGTTACTGTAGCTTTAATACGGTGTTTATATTTATTTGTAACTACGTAGGTTTGTAATATGTAAAGCTAAGCGAACGTTATTCCAAGGTCAAAACGTTTACGCAGTGTGGGGCAATCAACGTTTAACGGCCAAAATGTATGTACATACATACATATGTATGTATGAATGTACACAAATATTTAACTTCAATGTGCACATAATTGAGGTATTAGTCAGAATTAAATCGACAGCGCGCCTTAAAGTACGCTTATTACAACAGTATGTATGCATGTATGTCCATCTGTTTGTAGGTAAGCTAAAACACACGGAAATTTAACTTCTATAATGTTTTTAGTATAACCTACTCTGTATATCGCCATAAATTAAATAATATACATACATACATACATAATATGCACCGCAGATGTTTAAAATTATTAGACTGAAAATGTGAAAATAGATGTTTTTATTAGATGTAGCCAATTTAATGTTATGTAATATTCCAAGCCTTGATACACTTTCTAAAGTGGTTCAGATTCCAACAATAATCGTATGACTCTGTGATCCAAATTTTTCTACTCTTTTTGTCAGGATGAAAGAAAAAAATCGTGACTTTGACTGCACCGAAGCTATAACGTTCTTGTGACAGTCCTTGGCCAGATGAAAATCAGGGCCCGACCCGATTATGTAAACCCGACTGTCGTGGAAACGAAACTATAATATGTACTTTTCACCGGTTCATTTCTTATAGCATAAAATGGTATAAAAAGTAGATTTTGATTTAAAAATTCGGAAATTGTATCGTTGCCTTGAGAAATATATTTTGTCAAATTTCCATTCAAGGACTTGATTTTCAGCGATCAGTTCGTATGACAGCTATAAGCTGTAATGGTACGATATCCGACAAATGAGTAACTTCTTGGGGAGAAAAGGTCGTCTGCAAAATTTCAGATCGATATCTGAAAATCGGAGGGGGACTAGTTAGTGTATATACAGACAGACAGACAGACAGCTGGTAACGCTGATCATATATATCGTATATACTTTGTAGGCTCCCCGTAACAAACTTCATGGCAAACTTACTACACCCTCTTCAGGGTAAAAAAGTTCACTGTCTAGATAATAAAGGGTGTGTTGAATATACATAAATCCGTATTATAGAGAAATGAGAGTTCGTACTGCAAAAACTCAGTGAAGCAGTTCGAAAGTGATAAGTGCTAACTGCTTCGTTATACGCATTCCGATGACTGCCATGCCCACGAAACAAGCACAGACTCACATTTGTATCCTGTCAAGAATTTTCAACCCTGCAGTGTTTTCCAATGCTAATTTTATGCTGCTCTAAAATAAATAGAGTTAATTTTTTTTACACAAACGCTTGGCTTCTAACTATAAAAAATTTGTGCAGTGACCAATAGCTATAATATGGAAATATATCATAATAGCTATTAAAGAAACGAGAGCTTTTGCAAGGAAAACGTGAAAAGCAAATGCGTTCTAGGAAAATGTAGGCAGATTTATAAATGTCGAAGGTTAGCTAAGCAGTTAAGAAAATTCGGAGAGAATTCTAATTTGCATACACTTGTTCGCAAGCAATTGCTGCAATTGAAAGCACACGAAATACCAAATAAAAATGTAAAAAAATACTGAAAACCAACTGTATATGCATAAATAAATGTATGGATTGAAATAAACTTGCATACGTACATATAATAAAATGGGTATGAGCATTGCGAAAAATGAGTGCAAAAAAGAGATCTGAGCAAGTTGCCTCAATAAGTTTAGTGAAATAAAAAATATTGAAGAAACTCAAACTTTGTAGCTTTCTCGCTGCGCTACGACTGAGAGACAATCGTTAGACTGTCAATTAGCTGTATTCACTTTGTTTTTTAGTCCAGTACAAGTAAAATAAATAAATTTTGTCATACAAAATGTTGTATTAGCTCAATTAATGTATATGTAATTTATGTTTTTTTTTAATTTCGAAGTAATTGTGGCAGCAATGAATCACAGCACCGCATTTTGCTTTGTATCCTTCATATATGAAAATCAACGAGACGAAATTTTCGACCAACTATCAGATTGAAAGCTGTTTTTTGTGATTAGATAGCTTGATTAAAGCCGACAGGAATTAGAAAACAATCCTCCGTTCCCACGACAGTCGGGTCTACGAAAACCGGAACGGACCCGGATTTTTATCCGGTCAAGGACTGTCAACTCGGCAGAATTTCTGCCGTTACAACAACACCAACAACAACAACAAGAAAACAATCCTAAAAATATTTTGAACTTATAGGGTTATCCCAAATTGGCTTCAGTTTAAAATGTTATAAGAAAGAAATGTTAGAAATTTTTTTTAAATAGATGTTTTTATGACGAACGATTTTTATTTGAAATACACAAGATCGGTAATCATTTACAAACCACTGAAGATAAAATTTTCAAACTTCAATTTTGTTACATATAAATATACATAAATACGTTAATATACATACATACACAAATAAATATTAGCAATTTATTAAAATTTGATTATACATACATATTGTAGTTGCTTTTATGCAAAAGAACATACATTTTTTTTGCCTTTTGAATCACTACGTGATTACCACAATATTACTACAAACAGTTATAATTGATGATACCAAAGCATAGTAGAATAATTCTTATAAAATATATAATGTGCATAAACATTGTCGAACGTGCTTCAGATAGCGTGTGAGATAAGAAATTATTTATGGAACATATTAAGATTTTTTCTGTGATCCGATAAACATACTCACACCAACTGATAGTAATATTGAAATGTACGTGTATTTTCAAGATCTCTGTTTAAGTATGTTTTAGTAAAAATATATGTATATTCAGACTTTCCTAATCGTTAATTTACAAATGCCATCGTGATTGATTTTTGTTTCGGTAACGTAGATGCTATTGCATGACGAAGTAGTAGTAAGAAACAAAATTTCCTAATTTAGGGGTTTGCTTTTCTTGACTTAGTTATCCGCACAACTATATTCTGCTTTATATTTTATAAATGCCTCATGGCGTGCATATTGTATAACATATTGTCGACAGGAGTACCGCAATTCGTTAAGCAGTTAGCTGCAATGTATGAGAATATTGCACTTACAAATATACATACATAGTTTCAAACATGAGTAAGTTTATAAGTATAAGTTACAAGGTTTGTATGATTTGCATATTCCTTGAGTAATTTTTGAACTTTATCGTCTTTATTCAAAGGATAGCTAGTGACCGTGTCAAAGTTGTGTTTTCATCATCCAAACAACTATGACAGAAATATGTCTAGGTCAGCAGAGTATTTGAAGTTAAAATGAAAGGAAGTGTAGTTAAATGATATTTACGACAAATTCAAAAAGTAATTTTTAAGGTGTTAAATTTTATTTTATTTAAATAGTGGAAACAATTAAGCATACAAAAATGTATATTGTACGAGTATATTTATATTCACTATTTACAATTTTAAACTTCAATTGTGAGGTTATCGTCATAATATTATGCTACAACTATTTCAAATCAAAGATATCAACATTATCTTATCATCCTCTACTGTTCCACTTTTAGTCCGTATGCCATTTATGTATCTGTATAATTTCACTTAATCTCCATAACTCAAATGCTTCTCTAACCAATCAACACCGTCGGTTTACTCAAGTGGAAATGTCACAGATAAGAACATACATAAGTGAACTCATTGTGTGCACGTAACAAAGAGTAGGCAAGTGACCCTAATGTATACATTCCATACAATGCAGGCCAACATCACCTGTTTTCTTACCAACACAAAAGATATAAATTACACAAGTTTCACCACTTAACTTTATTGAACTCTTTTTGAAATAATACAAATATAAAAAATAAAATCAATTGCCAACTCACCTTCAGCAAGCACATCTTCCACGGTCACACTTACACGTCCCACTGTAAATACTTTACCAACAAAACTGTTGGTCTCCTTCGATGTGGAGTGATTGTGCGAGTTATCCAATTTTTCATTTTTATCGAATTTTGAAAAGATCTTCTTCATGTTGATGACAATTGGTTGACCACACTAAGGTGGTGGAACTGTCAACCACAAATATGGAAACTTTGCTGATGCTGCACAGCAGATATAGTAAAAAATAATGGGTTGTCTTGCTATTGCAAAATGAATTGCGCATCCACCCGAAGTGGGTAACGAGTCATGCGTTACGGCGACGGTGGTGGCAGCGTTAACTGACTATGATGACGAAACGCCCACAAGTTGTGAATGCACCGCTTCTTTCCGGCGACAGCCCGACAGATCTAGTATATATAGAATGCACTGAAATACTTTTGCTTCGTTTTCACTATATTATTGACACTTTTTCAAAGTCACTGCTTAATCCAACAGCTGCTTTGCTTTCGCCAATTTTATTGGCAGAAAAGAAAGTTTTCTTTTTTTTTTGCGTTTTTTTTTCGATTTTCCTCTTGTTCTTTTTTGCAACTACTACAATATTTTTTGTTTAATTTCTTGATGATTTGTTTATTAACCCTACAAAGTAATATGCACTTCCTAGCCGAATTTGATGTTTAATGTTTCAAATTGTTAAGACATCTCTGGCAATGTTTCAAAAGAAAATCGCAATAATCGAATATTTTCACCTGCCAGCAATCGCGAACAAATAAAATTTGCTAGCTGAAATTGACAGTTCTAATCCGTCTGTCAATCTCCCAGTTTGCTTTGATCATGTTTCTTACTATTCTGCAGGGTTGTAAATAGAATGTGGAAATAAAATCAATTCACATAAATTTACAGTCAGGTAACTCTATGTTATCATTTCAACTAAGTAAAATAAGAAGCAAAACAAAACAGAACTAATAAAACTGTTTTTCTTAACTTTGTCTATTTTTTTGTTATTTTTCGCGTATACAAATGTATAATATTAATTTTAGAAATCTAGTATTTGTGCGAAATTACTTTAAATACCTCTTTACACAAAAAATTTTCAAATTGAAGTAGTTTTTCGTATGTATTTCACAAAATGCATAAACATTACATCAGAATTTCTTACATTACTTTGCGAAAAATTGTGACATGTGTATTGCAATTATTTATTTTATTTTAGCACACGTATTGAAAATAAATATTAAACTATCATGTATTTATGTTAAAAAGAAACAAATATTTACATTGAAATGGGTAAAAGTTCTTATCGTTCTATTTTTTATACACTCTAATTTTGTTGCTCTGATATTCCTCTAAATATGAAATTTATTAACCTGAAATTAAAACCAAAATTAATCTACAACATCAAAAAAAATGTAAACAATTAGATATTTACTTTTGCCTTTTGTGAAATTGTTTTAATATATGTATATCTACAAATTATTAATATAAATTTAATTTATTAATTTTAGGGCAAACAAAAATTATAATTATATGGCAAATTCGGTTGTTTTGATAGTCGATTTTGCGTCTTAGCAACCCTCTGCCCAATAGTAAACCAAATCCTCGTGCTAGAAGTAACTTGTGTTTTATTTGCGATAAAAGTAAATAACAACATGGAAAGTGTTAATGCTGCAAAATATTTGCTAGTTTTAGAAAGTTTAAAATTAAATGAAGACGAGGGTAATTAAACCATTAATATCTTAAAACAAACATAGAGTATAATCAAAGTAATATTATGTAGGCTGTGATGATAAATCGAAAAAGATTCAAGTCTCCAACGATGAGCAACGTTTGGAGCACAACATAACAATATTGCAAAAGTTCATGCCGGAAAATATATCTGCTTGGATTGAGAAAACTGTGAGTACATTTAACACTTCATGGTTGAAATCTGAACTGCATTTACATTCTATCAGTATTCCCGAGGATGATAAAGAGCTAATATATACTGTTTATATTCAACGTATGTTGTTGGAAATTGTAAATAACGTTAATTTTAATAGTGAAGTCAAAGAAGATCTTATATCGACTCGTCATATTAGCCTTTGTATTGAAGCAATGCAAGAATTGGCCAAATATGCGCTACATAGGCAGTTGCATGCCACGTTCTATGAAATAAGCGTCTTTACAAGTGAACGTGCGACACAGGGTGCTCATTGTAATTACCCATTATTGTTACTGTCTATAGAAGTAGTTGAGCATTTATTAAAAATTAGGCAATTCCATATGGCCAACGCGATGGAGATAGTTATGCGTGATTATATTGCGGCTATATTCAGTATCCGTTTAGCAAGTGCGACGCAAGAATTCTCTTTACAGGAAGAAACTTTAAAGGCACTACAAAATAAATTAAATTATATCTGGCTGTATGTAAATAAGGTCGAATTTTTAAGGAATATTATGCTACTGAAGGGCTTACGACGTGCACCAGCCGACTTGCAGAAGCAATTACATCACGAACTATTACAGAAATTACTTTCTAAAGATGGATTTATAACATTAGTTGCTACCCTGCACACAGCGCAGTCTACAAACACTAGTGGCACCAGCACGAATAGAGCGATGCTAAGCGATAAACAAGTTTTCGAGATTATCGCCAACATTGTCGCTTTTCGTGGGCATACGCAACGCGCACAAAACATTTTGATAAGACAAATATTCCAATTTCTTAATACTTGTCTGCTAAATGAAAGTGCGATGATAGACTGTATGGGAGCCGGACTGTTATCACTGCGACGACTTTATGATTTAAATGAGCAAAACAAGTTGCAGATAAGAGATATAATTGCAAACATTTTTTCTAAATTAAGTCAACCAGCGGACGTGCTAAGCGGTCTAATAGTGTTGGAACATAAAGAGCTATCTCTGCTTATTGCCTTAACATATCAGCTCTTCTGCAGCTCAGCGGTAGAGTGTTTAGCTACTGAACTATTGATACCTTATCTACCACTATTACTGCAAATGTACCATCACATGCCCGATGGATTTTTACAAAAGAAGCAATTAGAAAGTATTGTTACACGTTGCCTACACAATTGCACGCTCGATGAACTGCATCAAATCGTTGTAAAGTTGTATAAACAAAGGTTCGATGATAATTGGCAGCAGCTGCATCCGCGCGTTATCATCTATCCCAATGTCGAGCAAACGAAACTTACAGTAAAAATTGCCGGCGTCGAAACGAAACAAGATTTCAGTGGCTCTTTGGCAGTGCCAGAGCTTTTAATGAGCAGCAATCACAACATACTCACTTACAGAGTATTTATGATTCTTTTGCATGAAATGTCTAGCATTTTGGATGACGATGCCATCAGTCAGCATGAAGCACAAATTGAGTTGTTACAAACCGAAGATGAATTAATTGCTTTCTTAAATTCCAAATACCCGGTTAAAGTGGACATTTTACTCTCTCTCAACACGTTGATCTCACATCAGCCACTTAAATCGCAAATTTTTGAAAATATCACAGATTTTTTACGCTTTTTACGCACTCTCCTGCAAAAACGTTTGAACACTCAAAACATGGCCGTTGGTAGTGGTCAACAAACCGAATCTATGGATCAAACTTTACTCATTCTGTTGACATTAACACAAGAGTTACTCGAACAAAGTCAAATGCCGGAAGCATATCGCGATCTTATACCTGCGCTACACAAACTGCAAACCCAAACGCCCAATCAGCTAATTAAATCACGCGTTAAATGCTTACTCCCACTGTTGAATGGTGAATTCAAGGCAAGTGCTGCACAGCAATCGAGTGCTTTTAACACAGCGCGTGCACTTGTCGAATCCACAGAGTCACACTTGCAGGTCTATGGCATACAAATGTTGCTCGAATTGTTGCGGCAACGTGATAGTATAACGCTCGCCAATACACACTTGCTAATTGCTTTAGCGCTGACCACGCTTAAAAATCGGGAATCATACACTTTTCTAAATTGTGTACGCTTGTTTGTGGGTTTAGTGCATGTTATGGAAACTGAAGTGTTGGAAACTTTAGCCGAAGAATATCTAAATGAACAGGCATCAATCGATTATCGTTTGGTAGTGGGAGAAGCTATGCTAAAGGTTGCACAGGAGTTGGGTGAGTTTGAAAAAATGCTAATATAATATAAAATACATGACTTTCTCTTGCAGGTCCACTTTGTTATAAATACAAAGCCACATTGTTGAACTGTTTTCTGCATGGCGCACGTAGTACCCTAAATGAGTTTCGTATGTCTTCATTTTCTAATCTTGCTCAGCTAGCACGTACACTTTGTTACCAAGTTCAACACTTTTTTCAAGAGGTGAGTAAAGAGACATTCCTTTGTCTAGAATATTTGATAAATGTTTTCTCATTGCAGCTGCTCCACCTCATCGATTGTGAGCTCAGCACAGGCAAATATCTGCCTGCCAAACGTGCTGCTATTTTGGTGCTAAGCGAACTTTTGGAGGGCATTGACAATTTGTTGGACTTTGAGGAGATGCTGCTGCCAATTTATCGCGTGCTCAAAATAATCGAAGCCGATGAAACCACAGATGTGAAAATGCGTCAACACGCCGCAAACGGTTTGAGAACTTTGGCCGCAAAGTGTAAGAAATTTTTGTTCCCAGCGGCACAAATACAAAAGGAGATACGCATATTTGGCATAAATGAGCCCGAAACAAAAAGTGGTAATGCAAAAAAACATATTTTGGAATTAAACTAGTATTTTTTCTTTTAGTTATGTTGTTATTAGATATTAATTTATTGTATTCGCCTTAGCAAACGAAAATATATTCTGCATGGCAAACATAAATATTTTAAATGCGCTGCAATTTAGTAGATACTGTTATACACAAATCATGTGTATGGACAGACATTTAAGGCACCGTTACGATAAGTGCAAAAAAAGTTTAAAAATATTTAACCATGATGACAAGTACAAATAAGGAACACATACAATTCAACTAGAAATTTTAATTTACCCTAGCATACGCTGCTGCAAGCAAGTTCTTCGGCAACACTAATGACTTAGCATTTTATATCGAATTCCTTTTCAAGTTTATCGGCAATCATTTTGGCAATAGCCAAACTGCTGGTCGCACCCGGTGACGGTGCATTACGGCAATGCAGCACCTGTTTGGCCAACGGACTATCTCCCTCTCCCTTATCGAATACGAAATCATCCACCAAGCTGCCATAGCTGTCCATGGCCTGAGCACGTACACCAGCTGGACCATTGCTTATGTCAAATTCATTAATTTGTGGTATGTACTTTTGCAGTTCCTTAGTTTGTAATCTGATAAAGATTGATTTCATCATTTCGCTTAAACCGAATTTTAAATGTCTGCTAGCCATTTTCATGAAACCAGGATGACGCACAGCATCAAATAATTCCAGCAAGTTTATATCACCATAACTAAAAAAAAAAATAGAAAAGGAAAATAAATATAAAACAAAGTGGTTACCGAATTCATACGAAAATGACAGCATAACCGCAATTTAATTTTTATCGCTTAAAAGCACTTACGTATAACCTTCACGCTTGAAGGCCAACACAGCATTCGGTCCCAGCCAAACCGAGCCGTCCATGCGTGGTGTGAAATGCACGCCCAAGAATGGCAGATTAGGATCGGGTACAGGATAAATATTGCCTCGCACCATATGTTGTTTCTCCTTCGAGAGCAGCAGGTATTCACCACGGAAGGGTATAATGCGAGGATCGCGTGGGCAGCCTGTCATTTCGGCTAACTTGTCCGATTGCAGCCCGCCACAGGTTAGCACATAACGTGTACGCACTTGTTGATAGCCGCGTGCGCCACGTATTGTTACCGGGTATTTACTGGCATCGCCATCGGTGGTTTCTAAGAATTTGGAGACCTGCGAAATAATAGTAAATTTATTTCATCTGTGTTATTTATACAAACTATCGTATAATTACTTGAAAATTGAGGTGCACATCACCGCCGGCTTGTTTGAAATCTTGCGCATAGTATTCGGTGACTAGACCCCAGTCGACAATTCCAGTATGCGGACTGTGTATAGCTTTAACGCCTTCACAATATGGTTCAATCTCTTTTATTTCTTTGCCATCAATCAATTTCAGATCGGGACATAAATTTTTCTGACCACGCTCATACAAGTCCATCAAACGTTCTACTTCATCTTCACTTGTGGCCACAATCAGTTTGCCCACTTTTTTGTATGGAATCTTCTTCTCGTTCAAGAAGTCATACGCCAAATGCATACCCTCCACGCATAATTTGGCTTTCAGTGAACCTGGTTTGTAGTAAATACCAGCATGTATAACGCCAGAATTATGTCCACTTTGATGCACCGCTAATTTATGCTCTTTCTCTAGTAGACCAATACGTAAATGCGGATGTCGTAACAATATTTCACGCGCTGACGCGACACCTACGATACCACCGCCAACAACAACCAAATCATAGGCACTTTAAAGACACATCAAAACATTCATACACTCATATATCAATTGAATAATCACAATCACATATAATGTATATGCATATAGTAAGTACGTTTAAGTTTTTGTACTTGTACATATGTATGTATGTATTTGTTAATTACTTACTCGCTTTGTGTGCTCCTCAAGCGTCGCTGACCCGCCGTCGCAATAGTCACAGTTGGGCTCGTCAGCTTTTGCCCCAAAACAATAGTGCCTCTTATGCTTTTTATAAGTTGTGCCATTCTCGCAGGGAATTATCACTTTCTCTACTACTCAAAACGATTCCTTCAGACGTACGCGTAACACTGACACCTCAGTTGACCTTGTAGTCCTTCAACACGATATTGTGTTGCCTGCTGCAGTTGGCGCGTGAGCTTTCAGCGAGAGTAAAAAATTGACTGAAAGTACGTCACGTACCCGTGCTGGTCAACCGCCCACCAAAATCAGTCTCAAATACATTCAGAAAACTTAAATTTTCTTGGAAGTGTATGTATGTTTGTATGTACGCAATTCCAAGAAATTATTTATTGATAACACCCGCAAAGATTTTTGCAAATCAGCTGTTTTGTCAGCACAGATGTGAACATTGCCAGATCACGTATAAATGCTATTAGTAATCGATATTAGCGATTATTGAAATTAAAATATGTCGATGTTTCGAAGAAAGTTGCAGCAGTTGGTTTTGTTTATTTAAACAAAGCCTTATTTGGTTTCTATTAAGTTAATTTTGTTAAATTAGAACTACAAACATTGCTTATTTGTTAATATTTTCAAACTGAAGAAATAGTCAGTTACGAAAAGAATCGATTACTATATTTTTTGTTGCCGACCATGCCATCGCTAGTTGTCAAATATTCTGCAATACATGCATTTACAATTGATTGAGAACGAAAACAAAAACATTATTGTTATGTTTAACTAAATTAAAAGCAAATAATTGCAAAATTTGTGAAAATGCCAGCTTTTTGTGCTGTACAAAATTGTGGTGATAAATATGGACATGCGGAGAATATATCCTTTCATAAGTTAGTACTATACGTACAAAGAACGTAAACAGTGCTAAGGTTATCAATTCTTTCAGATTCCCATTTAAGCGACAAGAGTTAATGAAGAAATGGCTTGATTTTGCGCAACGTGGTCCTGATTGGCAACCATCGAAGTGGAGTGCTATATGTAGTCGCCACTTTCGCGATGATGATTTCAATTGTGCCCCCGATCGCAAAATACTAAAGAAGACTGCGGTGCCATGTTTGCACAATCAGAAACATGTACAAACCATAGAAAAGCAGTACACTGAACGGAAACAAGAAGATATTGCCAAAGAAACCTCTTTACAACAAACTGCCACGAAAACCGCAATCAGCAGCTCACCCGCCACAGAGACATACAATGAAGCATGCGAAGAATTCGATGAGACGGCAGAACAAGTAAGTAAAATAAAATAGTCCGCTATCTGAACTCCGACCTGTAAGTTATTGTTTTCGACTTCTTAGCGCATGCAGACCACATCTTTACAAAGTTCTCCGAACGCACCGAACAAATATAAATGCCGACTGTGTGGCAGTGCATGCTCAGCTGTGGTGTCATTTTCTACAAATTTCGAAATTTATGGCATGATACAAAAATGTTTTCCTACACTCAATATACAAAAAGACGATAACTTACCAAAAGAAATGTGCCGCTTGTGCCTTAAACGCGTGGAAAGCTTTTCGCGTTTCATCGACAAAGTGCTTGAAACACAGAGTGAGCTGCAACGAAAATATCGCACAGAGAAAAAAGACAATAACACACGTTTTGCAGAACGTCCGCTGAAGGTAAAACAAGAGCCAGTGGTGCGTGTGAAACAGGAGCTTCCAGAGGGTTTTGACAGTTTTCTCTCTGATGATCTGGATATGGGAATGGATGAGGGTTGTGAACCGGAGCATGATTCTGAAGCGATTGTTGAACAAAAATATGATTTCTGTGATTTTCCCATGTTGAATGCACAGGATATAATCAACAATTGTGATATAATGGAAATAATAAATTTGGATGATCCTTTCATAAACATACCAGATGATGATGCCAATACGAATTGTGAAAATAATACACAGAACTCAAAACAACAAGATAATGCTATGCAACAGCAACAACAAGAGAGGAACAAGCGCACTTTACTAAGTGCTCACGAATTGCTACAAAACCATTTGTTAAGTGAAGAGCACAACTATGCCTATACAACGGAGGATTTGAAGGAAGAGTGTCAATTCAAAAGTACTTATAAGACAGAGAAGACTGATGGTGGCGAATGTGGAGATCGGGGAGACTTTATCGCAAATGTTGGAACTGAGGATGATGAACAGACAGGTTATGCGGGAGACGAGCATCACAACGTTGAAAATGGCGCTTCAACCGGTCTGTATAGTATGTACATATATGTATAGTAAATAATAATAAAAATACTTAAATTAATTTTTAACTTTTAGAAGAAAACTATGCCCCGCCAAACATACATTTGCAAAATGTTGCTGCTTCAAACGTTGAGAAGCCAACAACTGCCGCGGATACAACAGCTACACCACCCGACACACGCTCTACAAGACCAATAGTCACGTCAGTGAGTGAACTTTCTGATGCATCAATAACATTACCCAATCGGACGGTCGAGGATCATAATCGTGCCGAGAAGCTTGTTGTCACTGCAGTGGATGATATACCGGCGTCAAACAGTGATGCCGCCGCTACTGCTACAAAAGTGAGTGTTTCTACATCAGCTACAGCGCCAATGAAAACACATCCCAAACCAAATATTGTTGTGCTCGACGAAAGTATAGTGAAATCTTCAAATGCCTTCCAACTACATACTTGTCATAACTGTCATCTGAAATTCTTCAGCATAGAGACACTAAATCAGCATTATATCGTAGCGCACCAAACGCAAGCGCAAATGCAAGAGCAAGGCACACAAATGCGCGTTGAGCAAGAGAAGTTGCAAAGCGTGCAAATGCAACAGCTACAGCAGCTCTTGGATCCTTATAATCCATCCATCCAACAAAATATGGTCACACAAAATCATCACTACCAACAGCAGCAACAACAACAACAACAACAGCATGATGAGCGTTTGCCCATGGTGAGTGTGCCGGGTGACTATGTTTGGAAGTATTACGCCGCTTCCAATGATGTCAGAAGTGAAGCCTTCAACAATAATTGTAAATTGGAGAAAGGTTTCTGCTCAACCACTGCATGCACAGATAGTCTACATAAAACGAATGACACGCATACTTTTCTACAGCCAAATGTTTTTGGTTTTGAGCATTCAAATGCTGCCAAAAATAGCTACATGACGCCAAACTGTGCTGCTAAGGATACTTCAAGTTTGAACGGTGCGCCAAATGCAGTGAGAATACTCGAAATGAAGCGCACATTTTTGCGGCAACATGATCCATTTAGTAATATGACTAACATTCAGGCAGACTATCTCAAAGCACCTTTGAATAACAATGATGTAACAAAATCGGACAGCATTTGCGCCGTCACCAGCTTGGCGCCAGAGAATTCCTTTAAAACTTCAACGCCTGCAATCCCACCCACACTTACACTCGCACGCATGCAAAAACCAAAGCGCTCCAAACGACGCGTACTCTTAAGTAGACACATCAGCGCGCGCCTAACAGCGCTTGAACGCAAGATAAACGCGAAAAGAGCGCCCGATGTTATAACAGCCGAGTATCGGCAGCTAGGACGTCGCTACAAGAAGCTGCAACTCAAATGTAAATCACTGCAAATACTAATATTGGAGAAGCAAAGGAAAGAGGCCAGCTCCAAGTCAACAATTTCAAGCGCGACCAAACGCTTACGCTGTCGCTTTTGCAGGGAAACTTTCAAGAGCATCCAACGCCTGCTGCAACACAAGCGCACGCTCGGACATTGGGCGCGCCGCACACCCAAACGCTTTGCCTCCACCTGCTGTGGCTGCGAGAAGTTCTTTCGCCACAAAATCGCTTTACACAATCATATGCGCTACATATGTCAGGCGCTGCCGTTGCGCTGCTTCAAAATGCAAATGCAAACGTTCAAGTGTCGCTACTGCCGACGCAGCACTTTCAATCATTGGCGCCTCTACCGCAGACACGAAGTGAAATGTAAATTCCGCAGACAACGCCGAAAACAACGTAGTCGGCAACGTCGCCGCCACCACTATCAACAACAAGTGACAGTGCAACCTCTGACACCGCCCAATAAGCAGCGCGACGCCGCGCTGCGTTCAACGCATGCGTTGCTGGCCAACGCGCGCCAATCGAAGCAGAAAGCAGCAGCGACAACACGCACGTATGCCTGTATACTGTGCGCTAAGGTGTTTGCCTCGGCGAACAGACTCAGTCAGCACCGCATCACGCACAGCGACCAGCGGCGCCACCAGTGCAGTATGTGTGAGCGCGCCTACAAGCGGCGCAACGGTTTGATGCAGCATGTGCGCGCCTTCCACTTGAAGTTGAAGCCGCATCAGTGTGTTGTGTGTCAGCGCTCGTATGCGCTCAAAAGTGATATGTTACGTTGCCGGCATGCGGCGGTCAAGCGCGCGCGTCTCAATGAAATTGCCTGCAGCGCAGAGTAGCATCAATAAATTTTTTTACATAAGTATTGCTTATAAGTTTATGCTAATAAGTGTGTTATGTAATGTTAGTTAGTTTCCTATTTCCTTAGATTTATGTTTATTGTTTAAAAGCAAAGCGCGTTTGTTGACCAAAAAGCTATTACATACATATGTATTATTACGAATTTATAACCATCTAATTTACCATTTCTATCAAAAAGCATTTATTCTATTTATAAGTGTGTGTAAATACATGTGTATGCCATCATTCATTACAAATAAAAATAAAAAACTTGTATAAACAACAGTAATATGCGTAGAAGCTGCTGTTCTCATTTTTCATTTAACGCCTAAAAGTATGCAATGCTTAAATTCATGCAACGCCGGAAGTCACCGTGTGTGTGAGTTTGGCGTGTGCATGTGTGTGTGCCGCATTTTAGCAGCCACCTACTGTACAGTTCTGCGCGCCTGGTGTTTCAGCGACATTTACAATTCAATTTTAAAATTTTGTTTTCGCGCATTTTACACGTGTGTGGTGGAATTTTCGTGTGCGCGTGAGTTGTTAGGCGAAATGCACTGCAATTTGGGTGGATTGGCGTAATTTAAGAGTTTTTAAAGAAAATTAAATATTTTTCAATTAAAAAA